CGCTGGCACGTCGCCGCCTCGCATGGAGCTGCTTCGCTACCAACTCCAACGTGCAGCCCGCAGCCAGCCGGCCACGGTCTCTGCGAGCTCTGGTCAGGCAGGGAGGCAGGCAGGGAGATCCCCACGGGCTCCCCCGGCACCACTCAGAACGAAGCCCAACGTCACAGGGTGGGCGTGCCCCCAAGTACCACGGTGAGCCCCAGCCGCACACACCAGGTGGGGGAGATCCACTCAACTGAGCAATATCCCCATCAGAAAGGGAAGGCCGGCCCTTCTTCCAGAGGAGGAGGAGGTAACAATACGGAGGGAAATCTGGCAGCTGCCGTCGGGGCAGGCGTCCGGCCGAAACCACATCCAGCCCTTCACCCCGCGGCCAGCTTGGCGGTGCAACTAGAACGTGAAAACACGAGACACACGGTTCTAGGATGTTTAAAATAATGAAGACAGAAAGACTGGGAAAAAAGGTTTCGGGCTTTTCTGCTGGTTAACAGGAAACGAGGTGACAGGTCTCTCCGGGATCCCTGCCGAAGCTGCTGGGTGTGCACCGCCCTGCCCGGCAGCCCCGGTGGACTCCACAGTCCCGAACCTCGGCTGGCTGGCTACTGGGCAGCTGGCAACTGGTGTTTTGCTGGGTCCCACGCTGCCCTCTGTCCACAGAGAAGTAAAATGTGGATGCGGCAGTGGCCGACAGAGCTCCGGGGAGGACACCGATTGGAACACATGCCCCGCGGCCCCATGCTCATCGGCCAACACGCAGCCGAAACTCGGGTGAGGCAGCTCGCTGAGAGGTGGGCTCGGACAGCCCGATGCAGGGACGCTCAGGGTGGGGCCAGCCTGACTGCTGTAGACACACCACGGACCGCCACTTACTGAGCCACTGTTGTAAACACTACTCATCTTTCCTAAGTGCTTGAAAGAGTAGGAAATCACGTTATTCTGGAAAAACAAATTAGAAATTTGGAGAGGTTAAAACAAATCCTTCAAGGAGAGACACTGGGACACAGAGACATTTTCAGACAGAGCACAGAGACCAGACCCCAAACCTGGCCAGGCTGGTTTACTCGGGCCTGGCGACCTTGCCACGCAGAGTCCACCGGCCGCACTGCACGGTTCCTGCAGCCCCCAAATCACACCCACCATGTAACCACACTGACCGTGACCACGAAGTTGGAAAGCAGCTTTGGTGACCTGCCTCTCGGAGGTCAGCACTCCACACTGCACGCATGGGCATTATCTGGAACCTTCCGGATAACTTAACAATTCACCACTGAAGCATGGAGAACGTTCAAGGACAAAGCAAATACGCCCATTTCGTTCCATGACAGGTGCTCAGGAGCTTGTGAAATTATTCACGTACGTCCACGGTTACAGAACAGACTGGAAGAAAGTATATGCGTTCTAAAGAATACCTCCCTGGGTGGCAGCTGTAGGTTCTGAAACAAGACTCGATTTTTAACTAACAACTGATCGGGGGGCCGCCAGTGGACGCTGAATCCTCCAGCACCGCATCTCTCAAAAGTGGTAAGAAGGCCGCGTGGTGCTCAGGGCCCCGTGACAACGTGAAAACACACGCAAGACTCATGTGCGCACCTTCATGCACGAAGGTTGGGCTCACATTCTTCTTCTCAGTCACGATCAAACAGGAACTGCACAACACCTCACCAACACCTCCACGGTCTTTATGGCAACGGCGTGTGTGGACACTAGCGTTCCGGGAGCAGTACCTACGAGAACCTCCCTGCCGACATCCCAGGACACAGGACGTGTGAGCCGAAGTCAAGCACGGGGAGCAGGACACGGCAAGGCCCCCGGGACCACACAGCCCTGTGAGTAAAGCGGGCCCTGAGCGTGGTGGCTCGTGGCCTCCGCGTCAGGCTCAGGTCCGCGCTGCGCTGGACACAGGCGTGTCCTCAGGGAGCCAGGCAGGGCTTTCCCAGCACACAGCTGAGAGCAGGGTAAAGGCAAGCTGATCTGCCCAGAGTGCCAGAGAGGCGGCCACCACACCTGGAACTCTGTGATTTCACGCTTTTCAGTGCATGAAATTTACCTGCCCCTTTTATACCAGAATAGAACCTTTGTTGTCACTTTAAAAATAGTCTGTCAAAAATAATGCCCTGCCAGTAAAATTTCTTTCCCAGTGTTAGGTTAACAGTTAAGAAAGCCCAACTAATTTTTAATATGGGCTGTGGGCTGCACCAACATGTCCCCCAAACTCCACCTACAGGACCTCAGAACGGGACTGCATTCGGAGACAGGCCTTGAAGAAGATTATTAAGGTTAAATGAGATTATATGGGAGGGACCTGACCCAGTACAACTGTGCCCTCAGAGGCCGAGATCAGGACACAGCTGCACGCGGAGGGAGGACCGCGCGAGGACATGGGAGCATGGCCGTCTGGACGGCCAGGAGAGAGGCCCCAGCGGACGCCAGCCCTGCTGCCTGCATCCCGACCTCCGGCCTCCAGCACCCGGACAGTAGCTGCTGTTTAAAGGACCCTGTCCCATCCCGCGTTCGCTGCAGCCTCACACGCATGGCATGCAGAGAGTTCGCACAAACAGGGCCTCGGGGGCCCAACATATGCCTGATCAATCAGAGCACAACCCTTGTGAGAAACACAATGACTAAGTAACACAAAGAGAAGGCCGGTGAGGACAGCTGAGACGCAGCTGTTTGTGAACGTGTGTGAGTTTAGCAGAGGGACCTCTGGTAACAGGCGTCAGTCCCCTGAGTGTGGATGGGACTCTCCCCTCCAGCTGCTCAGCCAGAATCCCAGCTGCAGGACGATGCAGACTTCGGGCTCCACCCCCTCAGACGCATTTCTCAGTGCCCGATGACTGCTGCCGCAGGGCCGTTCTGGAGAGGACACAACCAAGGGGTGAACACGATGGGACGTTAGCATTACGGGACAAGCCGAAGCAACAGTTTGCTAAAATAAGGTCCCCGGTGCGTAACACACACACGCGCACGCGCACGCCCCCGCCCACACACTCCCCAGGGAAGAACAACTTCCGGGACGAGAGCCCCTCTCGTCGCCCTGGTGGGGACGCCCACCGCCTGTCACACGTACGCACACAGCGCCTGGGCAGAAGCTACCAGATCGCTTACACACCCGGCGGGACACAAAATCGACGTAGAGCTCTAAAGCTCCTTTCGCAGTCTGCACCCACAGTCCACGCACAATGCAGAATTCCAGTCCGGAGTCGCAAGCTCTGCGTTAGCACCAAGGCCTGCCTCTGTCCTGTTCACGTCACATCTGCCGCAGCTGTTCCAACACCAAGACAGAGTTTCAAAGTTATGTGCATGTGCTGATCCCGTGAAGGGTTCTGGGTCCTTCCCCGAGCACCCGTGTCCACAGCGCAGAGGTGAGCGGCGCAGGGATGTGCCCACATGGCAGACGGCAGCCTACTCACCAGATGGGAATGGCCAGCACAAAAAAAGAAAGGCGAGCCAGGGCCCGCAGTCCCAGCGCCTGGGCTGGCAGGGATCAACGCGCCCCCTGGTCCTCAGGAAAAAACTACGCAGAAAGAAGGCAGGGTCATTTTTAGGCAAAATGATGTGCCAGGCCAATAACCCTAAAACCGTCTGCCATGGAGTCACCTTAGCTGAAGGCTTTTATGGCCAATACGAGGGAGACAGAGCCTGAGAGCGTCTGCAGAAGTAATTCAAAGACTCCCCTAATTCTCTGAGACTTGGTGGCCTGCGCGCTTACAAACAGGACATAGGACAAACCTGTGCTAGACTTTACGTGTGAGACCGTGTACTGCAGGCGTTAGGAAGTCCAGGTTTTACAAGAACATTAATGTAAGGACATGTTTAAAGTATCTTTGAAACACAAAACAGTTCCCACAGTCCTGTGACGGAAATGCAGATTTCTTCAGCATAACTGGAAGACAAGACAACACGTTTTGCCACTGACCTGGGAAGGAAGGTCACAGAAGTGCCTGCAGAGACGGCTGGGCTGTGGGCTCTCTGGGCCCCCGCACAGAGGCCGCTGTTGTCCTGGACCACACATGTGCCCCCACGCCTCCCTCACGGGCGCCGCAGACGAAAGGTGCGCCTCCCCCGACCAGGGGTCCCACTCGGCAACGGCCAAGGGCTGCGCAGCATCTGCCACACTTTACTCACTACCAGCTCGTGGCTACGCTGAGGACGGTTGAACGGGCAGGCCCACCCACAATTCTCCAAGCAGGGCCGCTTCCAACAGACCCACTCGCTGGCCTATGGACAGCGACTGGCGACCAGCGACCGCCAACCTTCCCACGAAACCTGCTGTCCTTTTGGGGAACACGCTTCCCAAGCTGCACCTGCAGGGGCAGGAGGAGGGCTGGTGCGTGTCAGGAGGAGGGCATGAGATCGGGCCTCCCACGGGCGGGCGCTGGTCGTCCCTGTCCCACACCTGCCCGTGCCTCCCCCAGCCCCAGCCTTAACCACGTGATCCACGGGCCCAACTCAGCGGGCAAAAATCAAAACACAAATCTAATTAAAGGCACATGAGGGATCTACTTTTTACCTCACTGGTTAAAATTTCCCAGGAGGATAAAGCACAGAACACGCACCCGTCAGTGGCGTGACCTTCGCTTCCTCATCCCACCACTGGGAAACGGAGATCTTCCCTGCACTCTCGCTCGTGGGTCCTCGGGTATTAACAACATTACAGGCAGTATATAAAGCAAAACTAGATGTGAAAGTATAAAATACACATTATTTAATTCTATTTAAAATAATCAAGTTTAAAATTTTATGATAAATTTTCTCCTTAATGGCAATCCACTACAGAATGGCTCTAGGACACTGCTCACTGCCCCTCTCCCTTTGGGGACGACCAAGTATTACCATATGCGAGGAGAAGTTCGACCTCCTTCCGTTTCTGCGTGCTTTGGACGGTTTACATGTGGTGGAGAGGGGAAAAGGTTACTTAAAATCTTAAACTTTAAAAAACTTCCAGAAGCAGGTTTAACACATCACATTTTGCTCATGAGCACAAAATTTACAGTCAGAAGTTGCACATAAAGGGTTTATTTTAAATGTTTTAAGGATAGGATAGAGTTACATCATAATTATAAAAATTACTTACAGAATTAACAGATTTATATTGTTTATACTTCTAAATGCAGAGAACAGGGAACGGTCTACACATTGTATAAAATAAAATTAAAATTAAAAATGAATTCAAGCCTGAAAGATGAGGTCATTTACCTAATTGTAAGATGCGAACACGAAGACCTCTGAACTATACACATCCGCTCACACCACACTAATGGTGGAAATACAAAAAGCGCAGCATTTCCAAGGAACCACAGACATTTCGACCATAATTATTTGTTATAATAATTGTTCCTGTTTTGTCTTTGGAGAACTTTCTTTCTTTCTTTCTTTTTTTTTAAGACAATCAGCTTACGCGTGTTTTCAGGCACTACAATTTGTGACAATCAGAACAGTCTTCTAATGGGTCCAGAGCGCTCAGAGATTCGAGCCCAATGCACTTCGGGGTTTGGCACGTAAAAGAGGAACAGGAATGAACTCTGGCTTAGAGGTGACTGCGAGCGCTTCGAGCATGCACAGTCCCTTCAAATGCTGCACGACAGACAGAGCTGGGGAACCACCCTCTGCCGGCACTGCGTGGGGCCACCAGCGCATTTTCATCCTACGACCACTACAACGGCACAGGAAGCAATATACAGAGAACTGAAAACAAATAAAAACAAAGATAGAAAACAAAAAACCTAAATATCTTTCACATGCAAGTTCAGTTAGTTACATTGAACATCCTACTTAGAATAGAGCATGCAAAAAAGGATGGTCTGCGTTTAAGGTTCTCCTCGGAAGCTTCACGTGGCAGCCGGACGTCACACGCACACAACACGGGAACACGACAGCAGGTCAGTGAGAAAGGCCGGGACATTTTATACAGGTTCAGGGCTTGTGCACTCACAAGACCCATGGTAATTTTGGAAACTCATGTTGGGCTCCTCGAACAAGGAACCAACATTCTGATACCAGGAAAAGGCAAGCAATGCATGCAGATCTGAAACGTGAGCCTAGAACGAAGCCTGAAGTACCGGGCGAGGGAGTGGAATCAGTCACCGCGCAAGTGTGGGTTAAGCCACCAAAAGAAAAGAGAACAGGGGGAAAAAGGAAAACAACAAAAAGCCCCTTCCCCTTCCTTCCGCCCTAAAGGCAACAGATGGAACAGTGATGAAAATAATGGTGATCGTAAGGTGTCACATTCACCTGGAGAGTGGCAGACCATGTGGTGTTGAAGGTGCTAAAGGAACTCGCAGGAAAACCACAACGCAAGTCATTGAGCGAGGCTGCAGAGGTTTCCACTGCCCAACCCTCAGGATACTTCCAAAGAACACTGGTTTTCAGTCCGAAGCACTGCGCCACGTTCGCACAGAGCACATGCCAGACGCCCCCACTCTCGGGGCACACGCATTCGCCTGCGCTCGGGGAGCCGGGCTCAGCCTGGAGACTGGCATGCAGGGGCCCTGACCAGAGCCAGACAGACGTGCGGCACGCCGCCTGTTCGAGCAGGAGCAGCGTGAGACCAGCACTCACCGCGGGGGGAGCGCAGAGCCGGACAAGCTCCCCCTGCCGCCCGAGGTGAGGCGCTGCACTTCCCGAGCGCGAGGTCACCATCCGACAGCATGACCGTGCACAGCCTTCCGGAGGCGAAGCGGGGCACCACTCGGACCACGCGCAGGGAGGTCACCAACGACAGAATCTCCAATACTGAGCACAGCCACGACAGAGGCCACACGGACTGCTGGTAGTTGGCTGACGACGTGCGCATCCAGCCTTCTGCCCGACACTGAGGCAAGCTTTCCCGTCTCCACGAGAGACTGGATCCCCGTCCTGCCGCTCTGTGGCTTTCAAACCATCAGGACTCATCCAAAACAAAGTGACAGATGGCCACGTCGCCACCACCCCAACCACGTCTATGGTTCTATTTCGGTCAAAACAACCTCGCAGGAGCAAGCCACGAAAGCGCTGCGTGGCCCAGGGCCACAGTCACACCCAGAAGCTAGCGCGATGACGGAAGAGTCCACGTCAGCAGCACACGGGGAGCCGAGACCGCCCAGCACCACAGAAGGTGTCAGGGGATGCAGGCTGTTACGTGTCTAGATATTCTCTGTGGGGAAAAGCCTTCTGACCACAACCTTGTATCAGTAAGAACAGTAATAAAAATAAGAGTGTCCCAGAGAACTTGTCAGAAGGCAGCAACGCCACTCCCAAACTTGTATTTCTAATACCAAAGCACTGGGTTCTGCCAGGAACTTCCCACATACACACAAACACTGATGCACGGTTGCCTCTCAAACCCACGCACTAGAATCCAGACTGCGATGGACAAATCAACAGAGCAGTTGTGCCGTCCAGGACACACCAGCATCACACCATGTGGACCAAGTACCTGGGCTTTGCTTTAAAACAAAAGAAGTACTTAGGATAAAAAATGTAGACAAAAATTTACAAAGCTTAGAAATTAAAGGCAGCTTTTTACCCAGATTCCTAACTGTTTTGTTAAATTCTAATGTGGGTCCAGCAACTGTTCACAAATGATTCCTATTTGGACTCATGGTTTAATGCCTCCAGACTAAAAAGGTGTCTGAACTTCTGACTTCCAAAACACGCCGCACGTCCCTATGTGTCTCCTGTGCCCACATTTACTTTTAAATAAACAGCAGTAATATACGAAATCGGACTGACTCAGGACAAGCACTCCTGCTGACTGGAGAGTATTACTGAACCCCCGCCCCAATCCACAGAGAACGGACTGCCAAGGAAGTATGTGTGCGTGCATGTGCGCGTGTGTGTGTGTGTGTGGTGCTTATGGACACACACAGATGTGGACAGGGAGAGCGGGGTGCATACGTCTCAACAAAGAAGGCGGTACCGACAGTACCAGACTAAGCTTGCAGTGTGGCAGCAGACGGGGAGAACTACAGTGCCGGGGAGCTGGGGGCGATCCAGTCCAGTCTACACGACCGCGACGCTAGCTTAACTTTACCAAACTTGCCCTAACTCCCCTCCAGACACAGAGACTTCTCGTAAGAGGAAGGAGTTCCTTACACAAAATGCTTTGTGTTCACATAAATCTGTACTATTCAGAACAAAACCAGTTCTGCTGGCAGAGATTGTGGGTTCGCAGGGACATTTAAGCTTTCATTAAACTGGAAAGCAATCAAGTCTTTATGTCTACAAATTATACATTTAATAGTTCCACAAATTTGGCCAAGTTCATGATGACATCTAGGATGTTTTCACCAAATCGTAGACATAAATATGGAAATCGTCATCAAACTTGATGAAATAGACAGACGGTTTGGCCTCCACTTGATGAATGACCATGCCAGTCCTTTTAGAGCCGTCCTCTTTGGCATATTCCACCTGTTTGCCTACCAGGCTGTCCACAACTTCTCCCGGTTCCCTTTCTGCTGGAGGAGAATCATCTGCATTAAAGAGGGGAGAAGAAAGAATTTAAAGTCAATTTTTACGTATGTACCAACTCACATGTCTATCTTAGCAATAATTTTTTAAAACGTTAACCTCTGGATTCACCCTAATTATCTAGAGCAAGAGTCAGGCCACTTTTCCTTCAAGGGCCAGAGGCTCGAGGACATATGTCTCTGCACCAACTGCTCGGCCCTGCCAGTCCCATGAGAACAGCCGAGAGAGAGTGCTGAAATGAAAGGTGTGGCTGTGTGCCAATAAAACTTTATTTACAAAAACAGTGTGCCGCCCCCACCCCAGGATGTAGGCATGTCAAGGATTTTGAAAATCATAACCAGAAATCCCCGTGGCTTGTGTTTAATTACAACTGAGACCGTCTGAGAGGATGAAGCAAGGAAAGGCCACGGAAAAGCCGAGATGCACAGAACTTCTCCAAAGTAAGCTGGAGTGACTTTGAAACAGGCCTTCAAAACAGACAATACCTCTTGGGACACTGAGAATATGCCATTCTCTTCAACACAAGCCTGGTCTTTCTCCTGTGACTCCTGAAACCTTGTTTCTCCCCACGTTCACTGCAGCACACATGATCTTCCTATCCCAGCTTCCGAATAAGACTTCCTTGCTCTGAGGACAGGTGGCGCGAACCCCTTCCCAGACTAATCACGACGGGACCTCCGGGATGGCAGAGGCACTCGCGCCTGTCAGACGGTCCCCAGCAAAGCCTGCGCGCCGGAGAACGCTGCCCTGAGCCGGCAGGGGCTACGAGGTGTTCTCGGAGCGCAGGAACCAGAGCAGACCCGATGGGCAGGGGGATGGGCTGGGTGGCTACCACCCTCTCTCAAGAAACCCCTGCAGGTCGTGCGGGGGCGAGCTCTTTTGCAAGGAGCAGCAGAGGGAGCGGTGGGTCCTGCCTTACCCCAGGCCGCCCGTGCTCACGCCGCTCACAGAGCACCCCAAGCCTCACACACAGCCTGCTGTGGCCCCGAGCATGTGTCTGTCCCTCACGGTGGACACAACCCTAACCCCGCCTCTCTGACCGCCAGTGCCGCCGCCACATGCCCGAGTCTACTGGTCCTCAGGTCCCCTGAGCAGGGAAGCGATGTCGAACCCGAAGCTCAAGTTCTCTCTTCAAAACTGCTCTTTCCTCGGCAGCGGCACCAGCCCACCATGCTTTCGGGGCGCTGCCTGTTTACAGAGCATTCCAAAGACGCGACGGCCAGGCATTTCGCTACTGAGCCAAGATGCAAGGGCCTCACACGGAGGCCCCTGCGAGCTCCCAGCACCAGGGCAGCATCTCCCGTGGCTGCTGCACGTCCACACTCGCTAAACCACTTGGCGGGTGGGTGAGGAGCCCAGGAGACGCCGCGGGCGGTCCCAACGCCCCTACGCTTTCCCAAGCAAGGCCAACAGTTCTCACTGCGGAGCTTTCTCTACAGAAAAGTCAAAAATCAACTTCATACAGACTGGAGAAATGCTTTTAAGGAACACTCTCCTGATCATTAAATTCCTGCCCGTATAAACACTTCCCTTTACAGATATATGAAGAAAATACACAAAGCCTAAGACAAAGAAAGAAGGTGGAGAGTCAGGGCCGGATGAGCACTGTGAAAGCAGGTTCACTGCCTGCCTTGTTGACGGAAGACCCCGAGAGATGCTGACACCCCGCTTGCGTATCAAGCGTCTGCCCGTCACCCCGTCCAGGCCCAGGGATCCCTGTGCTGGAGGGAAGGAAGGCTATGGAGTAGTTTAAAAAAGAACAGGCTTACCCAAAAATGAAAGTAAGAAAATAATTCCATTCATAACAGCATCAAAAAGAGCAAAATATTTAGGAATAAACCTAACAAAAGAAGTATAAAACTAATACTCTGAAAACTACAAGACACTGTTGATAGAAATCTTTAACTCTCAATAAATGGAAAAGTATCCGTGCTCCTGGGTCAGAAGGCTTCACGGTGTCAAGATGATCAGAGATTCAGCACAATCCCCATCTGAATCCCAGCTGACCTCTCTGCAGAGAATGACAAACTGATTTCAAAACTCATGAAATTGCCACGGACCCAAAAGAGTGAAAACAATTCTGAGACAGAACAAAGTAGGACTCAGCACCTCCCAACGTCAACGCTTACTTCAGAGCCGCGTGACCAATATGGCACGTGCCCCACAGACAGGAGCACAGCCGTCCATCTGCGGCCAGCTCTCTTTCACCACGGGCGCCAAAACCACCCAGCAAGGAAGGAGCAGTCTTCCCACAACATGGTGCTCAGACAGTGTGCACAAGAGTGAAGGGGGGACCCTTCCACCACATCATAAAAATTGACTCAACACGTTACCGAAGATCAAAATGTAACAGCAACACCTATTAAGACTCGCAGGAGAAAGCGAAGAGGTACATCGTTTATGGCCTTGGACACACACCGAAACGAAAGCGCAAGTTACAAAAGAAAAAGCAAAGTGGACTTCATCACAATCAGAAACTTCCGTGCTTCAAAGAGCACCACCAACAGCGTGAACAGAAACCCGCAGAGTAAGAGAAAGTGTCGGCAAAGCCTACGTGGGTCGGGAGACCCGCACAGAGACCCAGACTCTGACAGGCTTCGCTCCGAAGAAGACACAGAACCGGGGCGCCCGGGTGGCTCAGTCGGTGAGGCGTCTGCCTTCGGCTCAGGTCATGGTCCCAGGGTCCTGGGATCGAGCCCCGCGTCGGGCTCCCTGCTCCGCGGGAGGCCTGCTTCTCCCTCTCCCTCTGTGCTAACAGATAAATAAAATCTTAAAAAAAAAAAAAAAAAAGACACGGAAATGGCCAATAACACACAAAAGGACGCCTGACGTCTTTAGTGATCAGGGAAATGCAAACCAAGCCCACGATGAGGCAGCATTTCGCAACCACAAGGACGGCTAGAGTGAAAACGTCAGTTAACACGTGTTTGTGTCAGAACCCTCACACACGGTCAACGCACGTGGAGAAGGGGCAGGGGTCCCCCAAACAATTCAACAGTGACACAGACCCATCAATCCCACTCCTCGGTATGCACCCAAGAGAACTGAAAACATCCACTCAGAAACCTGCGCACAAGGGTTTACCACGGCATCCTTCATAACCAGCAAGGGGTGGACAACCCACACACCCATCCGTGGACGGATGAACACATGTGCACACGGTGCCGCTGTATTTGGCATGAGAAGAGAGAAAGCACTAAAACGTCACAACACGAGGAGCCTGAAAATGGTGAGCTGAGTGAAGGAAGCCACACAAGAGGGGCCCACCATACTCCACCCATGCCAAGTCCACAGCCCAGAACAGCACATCTACTCGGCAAAAGGTGCAAAGCTTCACAACTTATGCTTGGTGCAGGACTCAAAGAATAATCACTTGACCCTAGTAATCAAAACAAGACACATCTACAAAACAGTTCATCAAACATCCCATTCTAAAATTCAAGTTCCTCTGAAATTAACAGAAATAAAGGCTGTCAGTACACACTTACTAGAATCGGGCATAATGCGAAGGTCGCCTTCTTTATAATCATCTAAGAGCTGGTACATGTACAAGACAGGGTCCTTCTCGTAGGTGATGTAGAACCATGTGTTCATGATGGGGGCACGTGCTAGGACCATCCCCCTCCACTCGTCCTTCGAGCCGTCCTCCGTCTCAAACATGTGCTCTACCGCCTTGCCGATCATCGTGTCGGCCAGGTGTGCATCGCTGATTCGAGAGGTCGCTGGGGACAAGAAGCAAACAACGGTTCACACGGGGTTTTACCAGGTACGCACCATGAAGACTGAGCTCATGCAAGGGGGCAGCCTGAAGGGCTGTCCGTGCACCACACCAGCACCCCTGCGGGGCCCAGACCACGGGATCCCACGGGCACTGTTACATCCCAAGTCAGCTCCTGAGAGAACCTGCTGTTCTTCTGTGAGTCTCCCTAAACTCCTCTGCCCTTGGTATTGTGTCTAAATTGGAACTTCAATGGTCTGTCGGAGGTACACAGTGTGTTTTGGTATTAACAGTTACTTTGTATGTTGCGGTAATGACCGCCTTCTTGCAGAATTCCAAAACAGGAGCGTTCCCACGCACGCTCACTCACCTTCTCTCTATTAACACCTACGTAACCACATGCCAGGGATGAAAACTAGGCAATGCACCCATGCCAGGCCTGAGAGGTTACTCTCACGTCCACATTGTTTCCCACAGCGACCAGACCGTCCCTCATGACGGTCACACCAGCCTGCGCTTTGACACGAAATGCCCCAAGGCTTCCGTTTGGTCATGTGAAGAACAAATTGCTTCCCTGGGCCTGCAAGCCTCCCCTCCTGGCCTGTCCCTGCCCCCACGGGCCTCTCCCTTCTCCCCACCAGGCTCCCCCATCTGCGGGATCGCCAGCCACCAGTCGCCTCCTCCCACTGTCTCCCCTAATGACACCAGCCACCACGTGCAGACCCATTGACAGAAGCAGGGCCCTTCCCGTCTGCTTCCCAACACGGAGATCACAGGGCATCAACACCTGCCGTACAAACTAATCCTCAGTCCTGTTCTGTGTTAAGAGGCAGGCGGAAAATCACAGCCTTCCTTTTATTAATACTGGGAAAATTACGGAGGATCCTAATGATTTTAAGCTTTTTCTGGTCCCCACGTTTTAGACAAATGTCTTTAAAAACAATTAGCACTTCTATTTTACTCATTCGCAAGTGCTATTTCTGTTAAAATAAAATTCAAAGGAACACAGATTGCAATTTCTTACTAAAGATACTGTTACCCAATTTTATCAGAAGGACACTGTAAACACATATGGTGGTTCTCTCTACTTACATATGCAGTAATTCTCAAAATTACATAAAACTCCCCACTGCACACTAAAGCAAAGCCTACTAGTTTCAAAAGTTCTCAAACTTTTCGATCTCTGGACTCCTGTACAGTATGCTCAAAAATTTCTGAAGATCTAAAAGTGCCCTTCTTTGTATGAATAACTATCAGAATCCAGTATGTTAGAAACTATAAATGACAAATCCACAGAATGTATTTCTAGTGAAAAATAACTACACTTTCTAATAAAAACTCAGTCGGCAGTGTGGTGTGGTTTTACAGTTCTGCTGCCCAGCTTTACAGAAGGACACCCAGACGCCCCCGTCTGCTGCTGCATTCAACCTGTGACATGCTCTTTGGGGTGACGCACAAAATCCAGCTTCACAAAGACCTGCTGCTGAAAAGGGAGTCTTGCGTTAGGGTTTTCGGGAAACTGCAGAGCTCCCATGTGACGTAACAGCTCTTCAGCAGTGAACTGCGGTGCGGAATTGGAAATCCTCACCAGCAAACCCGTCACACTGTCACATGAAAACTCACTCCTACAACTCAGCAGCAACAAAAATTAATTAACCCGACTACAACCTGGGAAAGGCCCCGAATAGGCATTCCTGCAAAGATGACAGCCAAGTGGCCGAAAAGCATGTGAGAAGATACCTGACACGACTAATCGTCAGGGAAATGCAAACCCAAACCCACAGTGAAGGGCAAGGGCTGGTGAGCGTGGTAGAGAAACTGGAGCCCTGTGCACTGCGGCTGGAAACGCAAAATGCTACCCACACTGTGGAAAAGAGCACGAGTCTCCTCAGAAAATCCAACACGGGATTCCACTTCTGGGACTCTCCTCCAGGGAAAGGAAAGCAGGGGCCCGGAGAAGCATCTGACTGCCACGTTCACGGCAGCGCCACCCACGGCAGCCCAACGGTGGGAGCGGCCCAGGCGTCCGTCCATGGATGGAGGGGTGCACACGTGCCATGCAGGGTCACGTGGCCTTGAGAGGGAAGGAGATGCTGCCACCAGCTAGACTTGGCAAGCCCTAGGCACACTGTGCTGAGGAAGCAGCCCATCACAGGAAGACACGTACTCTACAGTCCCGCTTTGGAGGTATGGAACGTGACCGACTTCATGGAAACAGAGTAGAAGCATGGAGGCGGGGGCCGGGGAGGAGAGCTGCTGTTTAATGGGGACAGAGCTGTAGACTGACAAGATGAAGAGATCTGGAGATGTGCTCCACAGCAGTGTGAATGCACTTAACACTAGCTGAATTACGGACACTTAAAAATGGTCAAGGCAGTAAATTTCAGGTCACGTGTTTTCTTTTCACCAAAATAAAACAATCTGTCAGTCTTCAAATGGCTCCTTTACCAACATACAGTCTGGTCCCACACAGAAGATGACTGTTTGCTGAGTTATGCAACGCTGCCGCCTTCCCACGTGGAGTGTAAGTGAAGGCCACAGAACTTCCAGACTGCAGGATCGCAGGGCAAACCATAGTCAGCACATGATCTACTGCTGGTTTGTATAGAAGCCTTCAGATTTCCTTTTTAAAATGCTCTGCTGTTTACAAAAGCAACCCCTGTCTCCTGCTGGGAACTACAAAGCAAAACATTAGGCAACTCTGAAGTCCATCACCAGAGATACTTAAAGATTTGGGGGTATTTTGGTTTGGTCAAACCATGTTTTTACCAAGATAAAAGGACTTTTTCTGTCCTTACAAAGGCAAAAGAACTCAGGAAAAAGAGCACAGGACACACAGCAAAATGCAGTAAATCTCACGTGGGCTGACAGTCTTGCCCCAGAAGAGATGCAGACTAAACTTCTGGATCAGAAGAATATATGATAATTACTTCCTACAAACAATGGAGATGAAGGTTTGGACATTTTTTAAGACCTGCAGGTAAGACTCTTCAATGTGCATTTCTTACGTTGGAAATGGGCGAACGTCAAGATCAAGAGGAAACCGATGATATATGCCTCAGGAGGAAGAGAGAGGGTCCAGTGGCCCAGAGAATAGTAAGATGTGACAGAAGCCAGAAATGCAACGCTGCGCAATGAGTTACCTTTCATAATGGATAAAGAAGATGGAAAGCAAGACTTCAGTGAGAACTGAGCTGCATTTACACAGGATGAGGAAACACCAACAAAATACATGCTGCTCTGGCAAAGAGTTAACATGCTGGGGAAGCGCGTGGGTCCCAAGAGCACAGTGGCAAAAACAAAGGGGACAGAGGGACTGAAGAGCTCCCTCGCCTGACAACCCGACCCCACGCTTCTACCCCTCCAAGTCCACCTCTGCCGGGACTGGGTCTGTTAACTCGGAGGCTTCTTCTAAGGACCATCCCAAAAGCATAAACCAGAGCTCGTGCATGAGCAGCAACGCTGTCAGAAAACATTTCCAAGTGAACACGCTGAAGAAAGTAAGGTTAACGTGCATGCATCCTGCTGACCGTAACAACAACATTTTACTTATTTCTTAAAGATACAATCAGTCATTATTATTAACTGACACCTTACACCTTAAAGAACTAGGTTATGAAGGTGAAGCACATTTGTATGACACTTCACAAAAGAAAGGGCTGCTCACTTCCCCAGTCACTGTGCAAACAACAAGAATGCGTATTCAAGCCCACGGGTTCTGGCGGCCTGAATTATGGCTGAAAGGGCAACGACCACTTACGTAATAACACACACTGTGAGATATACTTCACATAAGGATTCTGAAATAAAGGCATAAACTACTATATAATCGGATGAAATAACTACACAGCATATTTGAGCTAATAAGAAAATATTCTTACCCATCAGAGTCCACATGAACAGTGAGCAAAATGTGGGAAATAACCATGTTAGACATTATCAGACTGTCAATTTCTTCAGCAATAACTTCATATATCTTTATATCCCTCACAGTTCCTTGAACTGTGGTTTTAGTGACTTAATTATGTATCTGGAGTGCTTGCACTCCAGTAAAAATAAAAATACCAATAAGGCAAAAGAATAATAAAAAAGCATCCATTTCAATAATCATTTTTAAAGCATACAATGCACAAATAATAAAGAGAACTTACCAACTCTATCAGGGAGGACTTCGAGCGCAGAAACTCTTTCATCTTTATTAAGTTCTAGTCCATAAACACAGTCAAATCCATCGTATTTTATAAGATACAAAGAAGGATTTACAGGCACCTGGTCCAGAACGGTTCCTTTCCACTGGGTGACAGGGCCACTCCCCTCCTTCCACCCATGCTGAATCCTGCAGCCTACGATGTTCCGCCGGGGCTGGGAAACAGGTTTGCTCGGCCCCACACTGCTCCGATGTTTTCTGCATTCACACATATACACACGTAAGGGATCATCTCAGAAGTACGCACCCCTCAATCCAACGCTACCACTAGCCAGCATGCTCTCCTACGGGTTATCCCAGGCCCACGCCAGCTAATGGTGCCACACTCCCAGTCCAGGTGCCTCTAGGTGAGCCCTCGGGCCCTGGCCACAGGGCTCCCCACGCACGCACTGTGGACGGGAAGAACACCACTGCCGGTGGCAACCTCAGCCCTCATACTGAGCACGAGAACAGCGTTCTCAGCATTCGCGTTCCCGCTCATGAGTCAATTCACAACGATCCCAGTTAATCATAGAAAGAGAAGGGCTGAGCACGTGAAATATGTACACATGCACATGAACCCGTTCCTCGTCCAACGGAAATGTGCAAACGTTCCATCTCACCCACTCCAGGGTCCACACCACAAGCCCCCACCACCTTAATCAGTGAGAAGAAACAAGACATTGAACTTCTTCCCCCATTCCGCCAGCCAGTAGTCCAGGCCGGCTGGCATCCCCACGTTGTACCTTCGGTTATCTCTAGAAAACACAGAATCTTACACACTTGCATTTGTGACAAATACTTAATGTAATGTAAAAATTATTGCAGCAACACCAAACCACATTCTTCCCGGATCATTAACAACTGAAAAATCTACACACGATATTTACAAGCAGTACACGTGGATCTTGGGATCAGGGAAGGAATCCTGGTTCCACCTAGGAGTCTGCACACAAGGGACCGGCTGGGCGTGAATACCAGCTGAGGGCCAGGGCCATGCCCTGCCCGCGCTTCCGTGAGAACCTCTGGTGATCAGAAAGCTCTCAGCTGCTGCACCGTGAGGGCAAGTAATTAGCGAGTGGCGTACACACAAACTTGGAAAGAAAAACAATTTATTGTTGGCTGTAATATTTAAAGCTACAGAAGTATGTACGTCAAATAGTCAAGTCTGGTAAACTCAGTGGTTCTGTGAGACAAACAGGGTCCGGCAAACCATGGCTGCCCGATGAGGCCAGGTTAGCAGAGGGGACAGGGCCCAGGAGGAAACCGTCTCACAAGGGCTGAAGAAGGGGTCCTGAGGCTTCATGCAGGGCTGTGAGGACAGCACCCCCCACCCCCCACAAGGCTCAGGAGGCACCCAGCAAACCCAGCTCCCAACAGGATGGTGCTGTAGGAGACAAAGGTGGGCCTCAGAAGGGACGACGGAGACACCCCACACTGGCCTCACGGGTACAGAGGGGCTCAGAGCTCGGCAGGGAGGACAGCCGTCAGGGGAGCCCCAGCCCTCCTCACACACAGGGGCCTCACAACGGCACCGGGAGGGAAGCACGTCCAAAGACAATCTGCCCACTGTCAGGCACACAACAGGGGTCAGGACAGGGAAGGAGAGACAGAAGCACCCAGAAATGAGGACTAAACTGGAGGAACCCGGCCAATAGACACCGTGGGGCACGCCTGGGAGAGAGGACAAGGGGACGGCGGGGGCAAAACAGTCATGGAAAGACAGGGACAGACACGAACTCCAGCTTCCGTAAAACAGAAGGACACCAACACAAATCAAAAAAAATTGCCTGAAATAGAAGACGGACATGTGCACAGGCCTCCCTGGGAAAGTGGACCCCCAACCACAGACACTAACATTCTAGTAAAACAAAGGGACTTCAGGGAACAGAGCATCTTGTGGGCACCCGGGCGAAGGGACCACATCACGTGTAGGGAAAACTGGGAATGTGACAGTGATGCTGGGGCCACCAGACAACAGAGTGGCGGGGTCAGGTCCTCAGGAGGGAAATGTGAGCCGAGGGCTCTCCGCTGACCTCCAAGGCCCAGGAAGAACGTCCTTGCCAGGGCCTCCCAAGGAGTCACGGGAGTTCCTGCAGAGGCTGACTGCAGGCCGGGAGCGCCTCCTCCAAGGGCACACAAACTCGGGGAATGGGAAAGAGGGGCGCGCAGCAAGGCAGAGCTGGACAGAGAGTATTTGAGACCGACGGCCCCTCATTTGACGGGGAGAGGGGAGTGAGAGCCGGACTGAGAGATGCGCACAGCAAGGAGCCCCCCGACGCCCCCAGACTCTGCAGCGTGCAGCTCGGTGCAGAGGAGAAGGTCAGCACCGCGCAGCACCGAGTCTGTGCCCTGCGGCTACGAACAATGCTCAACCCCAACGACCGCGAACCTCAGGCCTCTTCACAGACCCTGGAAGCGCGCCGTGTGGGGAAACGGCTGGAATCTTGCTAGCATGGCGTTTCTCCTCCGTCAATCCATCACCTACTTCTTGGGACGTCCAGGCAGAAGTCTTAGTGATGCACACTGTGTACGGGGTCAGGCTTTCTGCACAGCGAGGGAGGGGCTGGCTCCCAAACCCCAGCGAGGAAGGAATGCAGTCCCATGCAGCATTTCGGCGATTCACGCAAACGCTCCGCCGTCGCTACCAAAATTACAGGCCAGCACAGCATCTGCGCGTGTCAACGTGGCTGGGCCACAGTACTCGGTACGTGGTCAGTCATTACTCCAGGTGTTTTCTGTGAAGGCACTCTTCTAGAAACACATGGAAATCGCAGATGGCCCCCACACAGTGTGGGTGGGCCTCGTCCAATCAGTTGAAGGTCTTAAGAAAAAGTGTTCTCACAGGAAGGTGCACTTTTCCCTCGGACTGGAGCTACAACACCAGCTCTTCCCTGGGCTCTAGTGGATGTCCATGCGTGTGCACGCACACCTACACACACACACGCACACAATCACCACCTGTTCTGTCTCCTTGGAGAATACAGACCACAGGCGGAGAAGTTTCTGTCCGAGACTCTGAGGCAGGACATCTTCTGTTAACCATGATTCTCAACAAAACCACCCTAAACTTGGCCAGTGACAGCACAGAGGGTCAGCTGGAGACGCAGAGCGGCGCGCTCAGCCACGCATCCCTCGTACACTCGCAAGCGTCGCTGCTGTGGCCCACAGCGGTTCCTGAGGAGGGAGCGGGGCACCGCGCTCCGCCGTGTTTCCCGGCTGTGTCCAGCGGCGGCACAGGCCCCCGCCCTCCCCGGGGTCCCACAAGGGACTCAGAGCTGCTGGGTGGTCCCCCCCAAGGCGGCCCCTGCACCCTTTGCCCGGGACACAGCGGTCCTTCCCTCTGTCTTCGCTAAGGGAGCTGGGAGCCCCAAGTCCTGCTGCCGTCCACGGGACGCCTGGGCGGGTCCAGCACCCTGTTGTGCGTCTCTGTGCGGCACTGTGTCATCACCCGCGTCTCCCTCCGTCTGTGCAGCTGGGATGACGGAGGTTCTGAGCCCCGCACGTGGCGTAGCTCTGGTCTTACAGAAGCTACCTCTAACCTCTAAAGTGCTGCACTTAGACTTAACGTTCTTCTACTAAAATCCACAATTAATCAAAACCTATGCCTTCTCTTTCCTAGCTCTAGCAAGACCATAAATAAGCAAAAAACTCTTAGTAAAAGAAGGAAAATTAAAAAAAACAAAAACAACAAAAAAAACACCTCAGCACATTGTAACCCCACCTGACACTGCTCGAATTTGGGCTGCTCTTCCAAATTGTTATTTTTCCTTTCGTTATTATCTGAGTAACTTTTTTAAAACATTACCTTATTTAGAAACAAACGAGGAAGGAAAGATTTTTGTTGCTTCTTGTAACATGTCCACCTCGTGGACATGTTATTTTTCTAAATACACCCTGTGGTGACGCAGACGGGGTTCAGAGGCAAGCACAGGTTCCTGCAAGCCTCCAGATGCTGTCCTGGTGCCCACGTCCCCAAACCACCTTGGTCCACACATCAGCTTCAAGACCCTTCTCCCCTCAGTGCCTGCATCAGAAAACAGTATTTTCACTGTCTCCCATTTTTCCAAGTTACAGATGTCAGGTGCCAATCGATCCTTCTTCATTTTGACTGGTTTTTCAGAGTTGCTTATAGCATTTTCTTTGTTCCTGCAATCAGAAATGTCACCGGAACTTGGGACTTGTGTTTTTCACCACCCCTCAACTAGCACTTGACCGACCTAGAGAGAGCTGCACAGAATTATCTCCCATATTATGACTCTTGATCCTACCCCCTCCGCTCCTTTCGTAACAGGAGGGACGCAGGGTTTCCAGGTGTGTCCTCCAAAATCCACCTTCCCCAACGCTGCTCGCCTTCCAGAAGGACTCAGACCAAGTGTTCCTGAATCAGGTAAAATAGATAGGCTTGAATTTCTGCCTATCTACTGAATATCTTACATAGTATCTTTAATTTCTAGAAACTGATGGCTTGATCTTCTCTTCAACGGTGTCTCTTCAATTAACAAGTCTCCCAACATCGGGGGTAATGTTCGCCTCCTTCCCCGGTTCCTCTACGAACTCTGCGGGTCGGCCTTGTCTGTGTTGGGTGTGGATCCCCGGTTAGCTCTTCGTTGGGTGTGACAATCTCTCGTGCCATCAGTGCTCCTCAGATGCCTGCCGTCTGCCGGGGCCCTCGTGTTACATGCAGCTGGGGCCACAGCGTCTGTGGTGGGGAGCACGTCCTCGGGCCCAGGCGAGCCCTGACGTCGGGCAGGATCTGACACGCAGCTATGATGCAGGGGGCTGTGGAGCGGCCAGGAGGTGAGTGAGAGACCTTGGGGAGGGCAGCAGGGGCAGGCAAGCACCTAGGCGAGCTGGTTTCTCTTCGGCTGTAGCCAGCCCTGGTGGTCTCCGACCTGCGTGGATTCCAGAGTCTACTCTGGTGGTCACTCTTTGGACGGCCTCCTTTTCTCCTCAAAGTGGCAGAGAGTTCCTCAGCTCAGCTTAGTATTTACATAAATCTGTCCCAACACACTTTAGGTCTCTCAGAAATTTCTAGTGTTCTGGCCTGCCAATAGGATGAGGTAGGATGAACTTTCCAGCTCAGTAACAAAAACTGCAAATTCTGAGGAGTTGTTTTAATGCAGATTATGGCGAGGTACAATCCTCTCTCTGCTTACGGTACAGACACAGCCCTCCTAGCGCCCGACCCGGCAATCCGCTGTCCCAGGAATTTATCT